CGTAACTTACGTAACTTACGTAAAAAACGTGACGTAAGTCGTGCTCCCCAGAGCCGGCGCTCTAGGCTCTGGTGCTGCGGGGATCGAAAAAAGAATCGTTCAGTGAGCTGCCAAACGATGCCATGGAATCGGAAAATACGGAACCGGTTCTTAACAGGAACCGGTTTTCGATTCCCATCCCTAGCAGCGGGTATTTGTTTTTGATTGTAATCTGGTTCAAACCTCGATAGTCTATACAAGGTCTCAGGGAACCATCCATTCTTCCCCGCGAAGAAGAACCCAGCGCCCAATGGAGAGGATGAAGGACGAATTATTCCAGCAGCTAATGATTCGTTGATGTATCTTTCCATTGTTTCTCTCTCGGGCTTGGAAATGTTATACAGTCTGCTGCTAGGAAGAGGAGCACCAGGTAAAAGTTCAATGGCGCAATCGTATGGTCTGTGTGGAGGTAGGGACATCGTACTGACCTTACTGAAGACAGGGGCTAAGTCATGGTACTCAGAGGGAACTGAAGAAAGGTCAGGAGAGTCCATCTCCCCCCCACCTCTAGGAGACCCCACCAAGGGGGCAGCAGAACGAAGGCATGTTTCGTGGCATGAAGTGGACCATGATTCCAGATGACGTTCAGTCCAGTTTATGTGAGGATTATGCTTCTCCAACCATTCGAACCCGAGCACCAGCGGGGAACATGCATAGGGAAAAACAAAAAATGTTATTGTCTCTCGATGGTTACCTGACAGAAGTAGCTCGAGGGGCTGGGTTTGGTGGGTAACTCGATGGAGTCTTTTCCCGTCAATAGCGGATACACAGAGAGGCTGAGAGAGAGGAATGGTTTTAATCTGGAGTTGCTGGACGAGGTTAGAGTCGATTAGGTTACGTTCACAGCCTGAGTCGACGAAAGCAGAGAAAAAGAGGCTTTGATTATCACAGAAAAGCGTGGCAGGAAGTAACAGTCGAGGAGATTTCTTTGTGTTTATTTGGCCCGCCAGACTCCTCAGATCCTCTGGCGGGCCCCGGCTTTTGATTTAGCCGGGCAGGAGGCAATGAAGTGTCCACTCTCACCACAGTAGATACATAGTTTACTTATAAAACGCCTCTGTCTCTCCTCTGGAGTGAGCCTGGTGTGTCCCACCTGCATGGGTTCGACAACCCTTTCGCCCGAATGAGAGGCCAGAACAGGCAACGGTAGAGACTGGGGCTTAGTCCTCTGAGTGGGCAACTGCTCTGTAGAGGGAGAACAAACAGTCATGTTAAGTGAAGCAGAAGAAAATGTACTCTGCTTCTTAGAACTGTTTCTGGCTCGAATTCTATTATCTAATCTGATGGAGAGGCGAATTAAATCTTCGAGGGTGGCAGGTTCATCGAGGGTTGCGAGTTCATCCTTAATCTGCTCGTTTAATGCCATGAAAAAGGCTCCTTTCAAGGCGCTTTGGTTCCATCCGGAAGCTGCCGCCTTAACCCGGAAGTTAATTGAATATTCAGCCACCGAAGAATTTCCCTGTTTAAGGTTGAAAAGAGCTCTAGAATCAATTGTTTGGTCAGTTTCTTGGTTGAAGACCTGGGTAAATTCAGCAATGAAATCGGAGTAATAGCAATTTAAACTGTCGTCAGCGGCAAATCTTGCCTGAGCCCATTCCAAAGCTCTTCCTGTTAACTGAGAGAGAATGAAAGTTATCTTCTTGTGATCCGTGGAAAAACAACCAGGGGAGTTCTGAAAAATCAACCGACACTGAAATAAAAATCCTTTGCAATCCTTCATGTTACCAGAGAATTTCTCTGGAAGACTAGGACGGAACTCTGATGACGTCACTGCTGGTGACCTCGGATGAGGGACAGGACCCGGAAATGGTTGCTGTACAGACGCAGCATTAGCGCTGTTCACGTAGTTAACATAGCCTTGAATGGCTTGATTCTGTCTTTCTATGTGGGTGTTTAACTCACGTAGAGCCAGGCCGTGTCCATGAATTTGGGCTGCCTGTTCCTCTAGTCGACGGAGATGGTGATCTGCTGGGCCTTGAGTTTGGCCGCAGTGTTCTGTCATGATGGGTTCACTGAAGGAGACCCAGTTATGCAGAACACCACTGACGGACACAAGGATGAAAAGTTTAAGAGTTTATTAAAGCACAAAACACACAGAATGTACTGATTCTGGTTCGGGCCTGGGAACTGGTTCACCGGAGTCTGCGTGAGAGACAGCACAGTTAGTGACTGCTGACAGGGTTTGATTTCCACTGGTTCACTGATTGTACCTTGAGGGTTCTTCAGGTTAACCTTGGGAGAGTCACTGTTGGTTCTGGAGAAGGGTTTGTCAACAGAGTCCGTTTGCTGCTTCAACGTCTCACGTCTTAGCTTGAACAGACCTTGGCTTAGATTTCCCAGCTCTAGTCCAGAGCTGCTTGGGGGTTCTCTGTGAATCTTCAGGGTTTGGCTCAGAGGGTCGGCTCGGCAGGTTAGCTCTTCCAGAGCTTTCACAGAGGAGGCACAGTTTTCCTGGAAAACAGAGACAGTAGTTAGAATCCAGACTGGATTCAAAGTCATGGAGATACACTGAGGATCTAGGCTTTAGCGCTGACCAACTGGAACAACACTGCGGCGTTGAGGCAAGGTCTGAAGACAGCTTATGTAGTGGATCCTCTGATGATCTTGACGAGCTGCAGCTGGGCAGGAGGCTCCCTCAGAGGATCCACGGCGGACTCTGCTGGAGAAAGATGGGATTTCTCCAGCTCCCAACAGTTTTATTCTTTTTTTAGATTTTTATAAAGGATTTGACTCCTTGAAACACACATTTATGCTAAAAACTCTATGTCATTTTGGATTTGGCGATAAATTTATTAAAGCAATTGCAATCTTATATAAAGGAATAAATAGTTCGGTTACTTATGGGAGAGGCACTTGTCGTAGGTTTGAGATTAAAAGAGGGATACGACAAGGATGTGGATGCTCCCCCTTACTGTTTATTCTGGTTGCAGAAATTCTTTCTATCCGTATTAAGAACAGTGATATCCAAGGTATTTCAGTGTTGAATAAACAAATTAAAATCAGTCAATTAGCTGACGATTCCACTCTGTTTTTAAAAAATGAAGGACAAATTCCATTAGCTCTAGATTTAATAAATCAGTTCTCTGTTTCAGGTTTAAACTTAAATTTAAATAAATGTGAACTATTGCCACTACACAACCCAACAATGCATTCCCTACATAATATTACCATTAAAGCAGAGGTTAAATATTTAGGTATAGTTATTTCCAAGAATAGGAACATAAATGAGAATTTGAACTTTGGGAAGAAATTAGATCATTGCAAATCAATTTTAAACAGTTGGTTAAGGAGAGACATTTCTTTATTTGGTAGAGTGTTATTGTCCAAAATGGAGGGTCTATCTAGAATAATTTACCCGGCCTCTTCTCTGCCGGTATCAAGGGAGTTAATTAAGAGAACTAATGATATTCTTCTGAAATTCATTTGGAGGAATAGATGCCATTACATTAGAAAAGATGATGTCGTTAAATCATTGGTTGAAGGAGGACTAAATGTTATTGATTTTGATGTAATGAACGGGGTCCTTAAATTAAAATGGCTAAAATGTTTTCTCCAAACTATAGATTCTTTTTGGTTTACGATCCCCAATTTTATCTTTGAAAAAATGGGAGGAATTGATTTCCTTTTACGGTGTGACTTTAGTTGTAATTCATTGCAGATCAAGCTCTCCGCGTTTCATCAGCAAGTACTCTTGTATTGGAAATTGATTTACAAACATAACTTTACTCCACACAACATTCCTATTTGGAACAACAGATATGTATTGGTCAACAGAAAGTCAGTATTCGAAAGGGAGTGGTATGCCAAAGGCATCTGGTCTGTTAGTCACTTAATGGATTCAGAGGGGAACTTTTTGGATTTTGGTCGTTTGGTCCCAGTACAACCTAAATTGTTCCGAAAAATTGTATAACAAACTGTTAAAATCTATACCTTGTTCTTTTAGATCTCTAATTAAAAATATTTTGTTATACTCTGACATCTCCCCTATACTGAGATCACTGCAGATCGAAGGTATTCAGATCCAGGATATTAGATGTAACAATAAGATGTTGAGGAATCTCCTTTTAAAAGAACTTTTCCCAAATCCAATTAGAAGACATTACATTTTAAAGGACTTTACAACAGATCAGATTATTAAAATAAGAACTAATTACATAACTTACCCTCTGCCACCAAAAGCGAAAGAGATGCAATTCAAAATTATCAATGAAATATATCCAACGAAAGAATTTGTGACTTCTAAGTTTAAGTTTGATACAGAATATTGTGTTTTTTGCATGAGAAACGTTGAGAGTTTGAAACATTTATTTTTTTTTTTTGTGAACCAATCTTTAAATTCTGGAAAGATTTCCAATGTTGGCTAATAAGTAAGAATGTTGTTTTGTCACCACTATCTGACACAAGTATTTTATTTGGTTTAGAAAGTGAGAATAAGACTCTTGAATATTTAGGAAATTACCTTATACTGTTGGGAAAATTCTTCATTCACAGATGTAGGTATTTTAAGACTAAGCCCACTTTTTGCCATTGGAAAAATGACTTGGATTTATATTATAAGTCTCTGAGATTAACTAATTCCAAACCCGCTGCCAAAGTTTCATCTTTATTAGAAAACTTGAAGTTGATATAATATTGCCCTTTGTTATTATTTTATTACTTAAGAAGAAGAAGAAGAAGAAGAAGAAGAAGAAGAAGAAGAAGAAGAAGAAGAAGAAGAAGAAGAAGAAGAAGAAGAAGAAGAAGAGTGGAGAAGGCCTAGCCAGCAGAGCAGCCGAATCCTGACAACATCTAGAAAAGTACAATAATAGTACAAGTTAGTATTTATTAGTGAGAAACCTTAAAAGGATTCATTTCATAAAGAGGATGTAGTTTTTTGTTTGTTTTCGGTGATTCCAACCTCACCTCCAGCTGGTGGCGGTAGTGAGCACAACAAGCAGCCTAAAAAAAAAAAACAGAAGAAGAAGAAGAAGTACTTCCGGGATAAACAAAGCTCCTTCGGTAAGCGTCCTTGTTGGGCTGCTGTGTCCTCCTCAGCGACCAGATTCAGACCGCTTCGGTCCGATGGCGGCTTCTGCTCACGTGTCCAGGATCCGCTGCCTGTACAAGAGGCTCCTGGTGCTGCACCGCTTCCTGCCGATCCACCTGCGGGCCCTGGGGGACCAGTACGTCAAGGAGGAGTTCAGGAGGCACAAGAGCGCAGCTCCGGAGGAGGTGGAGAGCTTCCTGACGGAGTGGGAGGTAAGGCCTGAGCCCATCATCATCATCAGTTAGACCGGTTAAAGTTAACCCCAATCATTCAATAATCTGGAAACTTTCTGATCTTCTCAGCATTTAAAGAAAGTTTTTATCTTAAACCTGATGATGAAAATCTTCCTCATCTTCTTGGCGGAACCACAGCTGGACACATTCTGGTCTGTCCTGGTCCAGTCCTTCACTCCAGATCTTCAGGTCTAATCTTAGATTATTGGTCTGAACTTTGACTCGATTATTCTACCAGGTTTAAATTTTCCACCTGAACCAGTGAAGCGTTACTTTAGCAGAGGGCTGCAGTTCTCTTTTTCTGGGCTGCATGAGGTCCGGTTGCTCTGCTGCGTCTCCATGAGGTCCGGTTGCTCTGCAGCGTCTCCATGAGGTCCGGTTGCTCTGTAGCGCCTCCATGAGGTCCGGTTGCTCTGCAGCGCCTCCATGAGGTCCGGTTGCTCTGCAGCGCCTCCATGAGGTCCGGTTGCTCTGCAGCGTCTCCATGAGGTCCGGTTGCTCTGCTGCGTCTCCATGAGGTCCGGTTGCTCTGCAGCGCCTCCATGAGGTCCGGTTGCTCTGCAGCGTCTCCATGAGGTCCGGTTGCTCTGTAGCGCCTCCGTGAGGTCCGGTTGCTCTGCAGCGCCTCCGTGAGGTCCGGTTGCTCTGCAGCGTCTCCGTGAGCTCCGGTTGCTCTGTAGCGCCTCCATGAGGTCCGGTTGCTCTGTAGCGTCTCCGTGAGCTCCGGTTGCTCTGCAGCGTCTCCGTGAGCTCCGGTTGCTCTGTAGCGCCTCCATGAGGTCCGGTTGCTCTGTAGCGCCTCCGTGAGGTCCGGTTGCTCTGCAGCGCCTCCGTGAGGTCCGGTTGCTCTGCAGCGTCTCCGTGAGCTCCGGTTGCTCTGTAGCGCCTCCATGAGGTCCGGTTGCTCTGCTGGGTGATTCTGGGTAATTGTGGTTCTGTTGAGATGATGAATGTGAAGGTTCCTTGGGGGAACCTGAAAGATTGAGACGTTTTTTCCTCTGCAGAGCTCCTCGGTCTGCAGGGGGTGAATACTTTCTGGGAGCTTCTGCAGCTTCTGGGGCCTTTTTATAAGAACAGAACTTCAGCCTTCAGCTGAACCGGTTCTGTTGGACCTCAGCTCACTCCGGAAGGTGACGAGTTGCTGCTGCATTTATGCGGCTGCTTCTTTGCAAACGTTGCTGTTAATGGAGCACATTTTCACTTTATGTTTTATTAAATATATGTTTCTAATTTCTCTTCATCCACTTTAATCGATTTATAAAGATCATCATAGAACAGCTTAGAAAACAATAAAGGTTTAGTAAATACTTCAGGAGGTGAATAGTTCAGGAGGGGAATACTTGCAGTCTGCAGCCTTTACAGCCCAGTGAGGTTCAGTCTATAAATTCTGAATATGAACTTAAATTTTAAAGTGAAAAAGTTAAAAAGTAAAGCGTTTTTTTGATTGGTTGTTTCCGCCATTTAAAGTTTCTGTTCTTTGAAAGAGCGAAGGTGATTGGATCAGAATCGGAGATGTTTCAGGAAGCACAGCAGCAGCCAATCAGCTGAAAGCAGTTGGATTAGAAATCTCTGATATTGATTGTTTATGTCTGAATGTTGCTCTAGAAATGAAAAGCCATCAAAGTTTCTGTGCTGCTGGTTTTAATCCTGAACATCTGATCTTCAGCAGGACATTAATCCAGGAAAACCGGCCCATCATCCCATCCGTCCTGCTTTATCAGTCTGTCACCACTAGGTGGTGCTGCAGCCTTGTTTATAGCCCTGAGCTCAATGGAAAGGTTATAAACCCCCTATAGATGGACTTCAAAGGCCTTTTTATTAATGAATCAGCCGATAAAGGATCTGAAGTCTCTGATGGAACGTCTCCATTACAGGCTAAACGATACCAGCAGCTCTTTCCAGAATAAATCCCACATGTAGAACATTTTGGGTTTTCCTCTCTCATCGCCGCCGGCGACAGACGTTCTCCATGATGCTCCTCTGGGAATCGCTAAACCACCCGTCTGCAGGTCATTTATCCATTCAAGTCGATGATGATTGCTGCTGGGATCGCCACTTCCATGGCACTGGTTTCCAGTTGAACTGGTTCCAGGTAGTGGGAGGCTGTTTTCCATGATATCCAGCCGATGGTATTCCAGCGTCTGAGCCGCACCTTCTGGGTTCAGGCGGGTTGTTTGGTGTAGATGATGAGCTGTGGGACAGCAGAGCTGCACGCTATGGACCCAAAGCTAAAGAATTCATTTATGGCGTCTGATTAAAGCTCACACGCATTTAAAGATGCAACCAACAATTATTCTGCACATCATTTAAACGCTTGATTATTTCTTAGATTAATTTATTAACAATCAGATAGAAAAAGGTTTCTTACAGACTTTTTTAAGAAATTAAACCAGGATGAGTTTAAGAAAGTCCTGATAATAAACCATATAATGGAGAAATAGCTCCCTCTATCCATCAGAGGAATTGCTTATTAATTTAATATTTAATACAGAAGTAAAAATGTACTAACAGCCTTTAAATGGTAGGAAAACACTTCCACCAGCTGGCTTTGTTTTTCTTTAAAGGAAAAGTCCGCTCGTATTCAGAATTCAAACTTCTGAAAATACTTTAAATATGAAATTATCTTCAGTAATTGTTGCTGATTGCAGATGTGTCTAGTAGTTCCCATTGATTCTGCTTGGAAAGCGGGGAGAATGCAATGAAAATAATTTTTATTTTTTTACTGATTAACACTAAATTAATGAAATCACTGCGAGCGTATTAGTTTTAGGTATAAATAATGATTATTCCTGCTGATCGGACTTATCCTTTAAAGTCTTCTGCTCTTCATGCCTCCAGCCCTCCCTGGTTTATAGATAATGAAATGCAAAATGTTTACATTGTTTTTGGTTTCATTACCTCACTCTGTCAGCTAAAGGAATGTTTTACAGTCTCTATACTCCAGTTAATAATCAATCGATTACTAAATTAGTCGATGATTATATCGATAATGGATTAATGGGATTATTGCTTTATCCCTACATGCAGTCAATCCTCCTACCAGCAGCTTTGCTTCATACTGACGCTCATAAACTCTTCATCATGTAGATGGAGAACAACAGGGTTCAATAATCAGACATGAGCCGTCGTTCCTTCTCTCCCTCCGTGGTTAGATTCCCACGCAGGCAGCCTCCCTCCTCTGGACCTGCTTCTGCTCCCTCATGTCAACTTTTCCTACTTTGACCCACTGGGCAAAGCAACCTGCCTGTGATTGGCTGCTGTTCAGGAGCCGAGACAGGAAGTGGTGTTCGAAATCCTGGGCTGGATCCTCCAAGGACGCGGTCTACCTAGACTGGATCCTCCAAGGACGCGGTCTACCTAGACAGGATCCTCCAAGGACGCGGTCTACCTAGACAGGATCCTCCAAGGACGCGGTCTACCTAGACTGGATCCTCCAAGGACGCGGTCTACCTGGACTGGATCCTTCCAAGGACGCGGTCTACCTGGACTGGATCCTTCCAAGGACGCGGTCTACCTGGACTGGATCCTCCAAGGACGCGGTCTACCTGGACTGGATCCTCCAAGGACGCGATCTACCTGGACTGGATCCTTCCAAGGACGCGGTCTACCTGGACTGGATCCTTCCAAGGACGCGGTCTACCTGGACTGGATCCTTCCAAGGACGCGGTCTACCTGGACTGGATCCTTCCAAGGACGCGGTCTACCTGGACTGGATCCTTCCAAGGACGCGGTCTACCTGGACTGGATCCTCCAAGGACGCGGTCTACCTGGACTGGATCCTTCCAAGGACGCGGTCTACCTGGACTGGATCCTTCCAAGGACGCGGTCTACCTGGACTGGATCCTCCAAGGACGCGGTCTACCTAGACTGGATCCTCCAGGACGCGGTCTACCTGGACTGGATCCTCCAAGGACGCGGTCTACCTGGACTGGATCCTCCAAGGACGCGGTCTACCTAGACTGGATCCTCCAAGGACGCGGTCTACCTGGACTGGATCCTCCAAGGACGCGGTCTACCTGGACTGGATCCTCCAAGGACGCGGCCTACCTAGACTGGATCCTCCAAGGACGCGGTCTACCTAGACTGGATCCTCCAAGGACGCGGTCTACCTGGACTGGATCCTCCAAGGACGCGGCCTACCTAGACTGGATCCTCCAAGGACGCGGTCTAACTGGACTGGATCCTCCAAGGACGCGGTCTACCTAGACTGGATCCTCCAAGGACGCGGTCTAACTGGACTGGATCCTCCAAGGACGCGGTCTACCTAGACTGGATCCTTCCAAGGACGCGGTCTACCTGGACTGGATCCTCCAAGGACGCGGTCTACCTGGACTGGATCCTCCAAGGACGCGGTCTACCTAGACTGGATCCTCCAAGGACGCGGTCTAACTGGACTGGATCCTCCAAGGACGCGGTCTACCTGGACTGGATCCTTCCAAGGACGCGGTCTACCTGGACTGGATCCTCCAAGGACGCGGTCTACCTAGACTGGATCCTCCAAGGACGCGGTCTAACTGGACTGGATCCTCCAAGGACGCGGTCTACCTAGACTGGATCCTTCCAAGGACGCGGTCTACCTGGACTGGATCCTTCGAACGACGCGGTCTACCTAGACCGGAAGAGTTTAGGCTGTGAATTCAAACAGGTCTACCCTTCGGCAGGTTTTCCCGCCATAGGCTATGTTGCTTAGCAACCGTAAACGTTGACACACAAAGCAGGAAAAGAATGAATACCGAAGTTTTCAAAACTGTTTAATTCTATTTTATTGTAAAGTGAACAAAGACTGATGAGAATCCAGAGTGGAATAAAGGTTCCAACCACCGGGAGCAGGAACAAATCAAATCAAATGTAATGATAGAAACCTTAGTCAGTTAAATAACCTGCTGCTGTCATTCTGCACATCTCTGATGTTGCTGCTATTTTCAAATATCCATCACTGTAAAAATGTCCATAGCTGCATATTGGTTATTTGTTCTCCA